GAGTCATAAGTGACAAAAGGTTATCTGTAGCAATATTTGACTTACCCAGTGTGGAAAGAGTTTAAGTGACTTGAGAGGGTAATTCTGGAAATAAAGCCTCCAGCTGATTCAGCATGAAAGCCAGCGTGCACCGTGGGTAACTAACAGCACATTCGCCGTTTCCTGGCAGGGCTTTCCGGTGACTTCCTGCGCGCTGGGAGATACTCTGCCCACACCGTCAATGGGGCCTGGTCAGCTTGGACATCATGGTCACAGTGCAGCCGCGACTGCAGTCGGGGCATCCGGAACCGGAAGCGTGTTTGCAACAACCCAGAACCCAAGTATGGAGGAATGCCTTGCTTGGGCCCGTCTCTGGAGTACCAAGAATGCAACATTTTGCCCTGCCCAGGTAAATGGATCACTTAATCTGGAAATGATCTGAAACATCAAAGACCTCGAAGGCCTTCTCCTTGTCTGAGGCTCACTCAGCTTCCTCACTTTGAAGTTTGGGATCCGTGTTCTTAAGATTTATCTTAGGTGACTGACATCATCCCATTAACCTGGAGTGACCCCCTCAATCAAACAATAGTGGAGGAATCCTCAGTTCCTAACTCACCCTTTCCAGATGGTCTGAAGTCAAATGCCAAGTCATCAACCAGGGTTAAAGCAACTTTCCCTTCAGCCCTTCTTCAGGCAAGCACACAGCCTAAGTTGTCTATGTACAAATTGCTGACAGGCCCCTGAATGGTGTTCCAGGACCCAGGCACGGTGGTCCTCAGGGGCTCCTCTCTTCATGGTGCACAAGTGTAAGGATAAATATAATTAGACTAGATTATATTCTTTTTTTCCTTCTAATTTTAAAAGAAATTAGAATATCCATGTGAGCCACTCTGTGGAAAGTGGGCTGTAAGCACTGCGCCTACTGTAGGGTTGGCCCGCTGACAAAGTCTGGAGAGATGCATAGTGTCCCTCAAGACCATGTTTCTGTCTGCTGGGAGCTGGTTCCTTCCCAAATTTAGATGGGTCCAGCCTTCCTAGAACTGGCTTTGGTCATCACCAAGTCCTCACCAGGGTTGTAGGTCACAGAGGTGGTCACCAGGCCTGCCACGCAATTCCCTAGCTTTAGATCAGGAGAAGTCTGTGTTACAAATTATCTGAAGCCTTGAAAGACACAGTTTTCCACTGGAGACTGAAGGACCTGTGTGATTGTGCTGCTCTCTTTCTGGAGAGCCAAGTTTTTCATTGTAGCGAGTTCCCAGGTAGCACAGGTTATTCACACAAGCTAGAAGGGCTTTCTGCTCTGACATCTCCCTAGGCTCCTCTATCTTCCCCTTAATATTCTAACCCCACCTCTCACTTCCTCCTGCCACAGCTCTGAGTGGGGCCTGTCACCTTCGTGACTGCCTTTTGCCCTTTATACATCACAGGCTTTCTCTGATAACTGTTGAGTAATGAGGAAACAGTTGAGGACTTGACGCTCTTTCTCTCATATTTTCATCTCATTTTCAACAAACAGTTTTGGGTAACAAACTCTGAGCTACCCACGGTGTTTATAAACAAAGACAGTGATAAGGCCTAGGTAAGAAAGGAAGTTAGTGTTCAGTGAGGCCACGTCGTATGAGTAGTGTGGTCACCTATTAATGAACTAGTGACAACGAGGTGCCATGGCTTCATTGGCTGAGGACCCATTGAGCCAGCCCTGGGAATCATAGCAGCTACATGAGGCAACTGCCCCTGAGCTGAATTATGAGGGACAAACAGCAGTTGATCAAATTGGCAAGAAGGGTTGGAAAATGGGAGGAAGCAATTCCCAATATTAGATATACATTTTAAAGGTATAGAGTCAACACTTTTTTTTTCTTAGTAGGTACAAACAACTTTCTGAATTCTTTGAGCAAGTAACTAAACTGTAGCAGATGTTCAAGAAACATTTGTTGATGAATAGGTAGATGATGGATGGATGGACAGACAGATGGACAGAGGGAAAGATGATGAATGGATGGATGAACGGATGATGGTTGAATCAATTAATGGATAGATGATGCATGGTTGGATGTAAGAATGGATGATTGGATGAGTGGATGGATAAACCTGTATATAAAACTGAAAATACACAGTTCTCAGCTTGTAGCCTTGACTTGAAAGTTAAGTCAGGACTTCCAGTAATGCTCCTGCATCTGCAGCTGCATGGCTGTTACCAGGGTATCTCGGTCTGACTTCTCTAGCCTCAGGAGACTCCTCTGACTGCCCAGCTTTCCCAGCCAGACTGATGCAGAGATGATGGGAAAGGTCACAGAGCTGTTCTTTCCCACAGCCCCAGTGGCAGGATTCCTCTCCTGGGGCCTGGAAGGAAGCCCGTAGGCAACATCAGTAGATTAAAGCTACACTGTAAACTGAAACAAGGGAGATGCCCTGGGAATGCAGAGGTCCCTCTGTCCTCCCTCATTTCCCTAGGCTCTAGGCTAGATTTCTTGTGATCATCAATAGAATGTGCAGATTCCTCCAGATGTGTGGGTGCTGCCCTGGTCCCGAGTGCAAAAGGTCACCATCCATCTCAGAAATCTATTAATGTGATCCGTTGATTGTTCTTATTAAGTAACTTTGGTGGCCAAGCCAGTACTATGTATATATAACCTTAATGTTATAAATAGTTGTGTCTTCATTTAAAAGCTGAGATTCCAGTGTTGTGTAATTATTCAGTGCCCTGTGTCACTTTCCACTAACTGGTGGACAAGTTCAGGAATGAGTGGTGCAAATGGCCGCCCTTTCCTCCGCCTCCCCCAAGTCCCTAAATGGATGATGGAAAATTGCTCGCCAAGGATGGTGGGAAGCCTTTCAGGGCCATGGACACTGAACTCATCTTATCTCGTTTCAGACACTTTCCTCCTGATGAATCTATTCCTTGGCCCTGTATCTTATTTAAAAATGAAGTTCCTCATTATGATTAGGTATGAAAATAAACCTCAACCAATTCGATAAAAGTAAAATACCTTTTAAATTAATCAAAGATGTGTCTCCAGTTGTGTAGAGCCCATGCCACAGTAATCCATTGCTTTTACCTTCCATGGGTTTATATACCTAACACCAACACCTTCATGGTATATCTCCAGAACTGGAAATGACCGCATCTTTCTCCTTCACATGTTTTCTTCATTGCACATTTGAATCATCTGTAAAGACTCTAAGCCTTAACCCACAAGGGTGCCTACCACAGATCACTCTTGGTTGCTAAGTAATGCTCAAATAAGGTAGAAGCAACCTAGGAGTTCTACTTAGACCTCGTAAACCCTAATGCGGCAAACTCCTTTGGTCAGATTTAACAGCAATGGTTCCATTTGGACTTTATTCTGTAAGCGGTGAGTGTGAGGGGAAAGGAACACTGAAAACCCCGTGGAGGGGCACACTGGCAGGTGTGCGTCGTGGATCACATCTGGCAGATACTGATGGTGTACTGGGAACACTTTGTCTTTTGTCTGTAGAATCCTTGAGTTACGCTTTGAGACAGGACAAAGGCGGTGGTTGGTGCAGGAGAATTCTGCCCAGAGGTCCTTAGAGGAGCAGAGATAGTGGTCCTTCAGTGTGAGCCTGAGTGAGTCAGTCCTCAGGGTGCTGGGGAGTTGAGACCATATGCATCCACGTTCCAAGGGGTCATAAGTGGGGAACTTTGTGTAGCACTGAATGGGTTCAGGATGACTGGCATACAGATACTAGTTATTTAGTTTTTCCTCTGCTATTTAGATCACTAGTAATCATACCTTTTCTTATTGTCAGTATTTCTTTCTGCATATATATATATATATATATTATTTATTTATTTATTTATTTATTTTGCTATAGGGCATGTGTACTTGCTTTAGAGAGAGACAGAGAAAAGCAGAGAAAAAATGAGAAGTCATCCCCAGAGAGGATGGCCACACCACAGTCCCTTCTCCTTTACTCTTTTCTGGGGTTTTAGGCACACACACACACTTGCTCCCAGTGTGATTTTCAAGCTACTGGTTCTGGAATTCGAACCACAGAGTCAGCCATGTGGAATCCAGCACTGCCTACTGACCCCCATTACTGTCAGTATATTTATCTTACTGTAGTGAATAGAATATTTCGCTAGGATTCTTAGAACAATTTTTATTTTTAATTTTAGACTCCAATCTTGCTATGTCACGATGGTCCTGTCTCTGCCACCTGGGTAGGTGCAGCTGCAGATGCTCACCACCATGCCTGGCGTTTATGGTGGGTCAGAAATCCACCCTGAGCTCCCATGTGACCTCAGAAGATTTTACCAGAGCATGCTATGTTGGCTGGGCCTAGAACAAGAACTTTTATTGAGCACTTAGTCCACAAATTTCATTCTATTAAAAATAATCCCTTGCAATAAAGTGCTTTGCATGAGAGAAACGTGGATCTGAGCTTGAGCTTGCTTGTCTGGTCTTCCCGTGAGGCAGTCCTCTCGAGCTAAAGCTAATTAGAAGGTGATTCAAGCCATTAGGCAATTCCCACGTAACTAAGCAGCGTGTCAGGTGTCGTGGGCAGACCTCAGCTGCTATGAGGTGCCTGACTCTGTGCTCAGCCCACCAGCACCCCAGTCAGTCCCTGAACCCCAATGCTCATGACCTGGCCTCTCAAGCTGCGCATTTCTAGAACATTCGGCTCGTGAGGATGAAGTGGAATCCTGGGTTTATAATTTGATATGATCACTAGAGTCATTTTTGTCGTCCAGCATAGTTTCCACGGCAAAAAAGAAAAACTTTAGGTGGCTGGCCTGGCGTAGTCCCTGATGTGCTGCGCCCTACCCGGTGGCTTTTTGTTTTCTTCCCCCGACTGGGCGAAACCTTGCTTCCCACTGGGTTCTGCATGCTTGTTTATGGTAAAGACTGTTTCCTTAAGCTTTATATCCTGTCATTTGTATTTTATTTACTTTTTTTTCCTATCATTTCTATTTTAGAAATACTTTAGCCTTCCTAATATGCACCATTATCACAATATTCAGTAATCTTGTTCATCAACCACACCACTGTTTCCAGAGTCACTGCTCCAAGACTAGGATTGAACTTGTAACATAAGGGCAGAGATAAGAGGATAGGAAGTAGAGGCTGGATTTGCTGGTCTGGGGCACAGGCAGTTACAGACCATGGCAGCTGTCTGGTGGAGTGGAGACAGGGCTGAAATTCTCCTTTGACTTCCCTTCATACCTGAAGTGCTTATTTCCTGTGTTTAGAATATATCCCTCAAGGCAATCACATGGACACTGCTGGAGGTTGAGTGTGATTGGTGGTTTGAACGACCAACTGGGAGCAAAATGCTCCCTCACAATGTTCACATTTCAAACAAGAGCTACATTATCTATGTTAAAAGATAAACAGTGCCTTGCCTAGAGAAATTATCATGACACTAGGACAGTGGGTGTGTGTGTAAGGAGGAAGGAGATTTACTAAATTTCCGGTTCAGTTGCAAACTCATTTTTAAATTGGATTTAAATATTTTTGTTTAGTTTCTTCCTTTTGCAAATTAAAATATTGTCATAATGATTGTGTTTGCAATCATGCTTCTCAGAAATGCTTCTTTTTACCTATATTCATATATAAAAATGAACATTTCTCTGTAAGTATATATTATACCATCATGATGGTATTAAAATATCAAGTCATTGGAAAAGTCATAACTTTTTTTTATGCTTTTCTATAAAAAACTATGTCACGACTTTTCTGATGACCCAATACGGTGTCAGTTACTCTATAAAACAGCCTGCATGTGTAATGATTTTGGCTTTCCCTGTTGATGCTTCTGCTTATTTAGGATCCAAGGAAAATAACTGTGATACTGTTTACATACAGTAATAGAGAGTTTCTCCTGGGCTCCCTAATTCATTAGCAATGGCTGTGATTGCTTTTTGCCCCTTGATTAGGATTTAACACCTGTTTTGACAAAGCTTTGCTCCGGGACTAAGCAATAGCAGCACAGCTGTGTAAGGAGACAAGGAGATGGGGCTCAGTGAGGAGTTAGCTGAACAGCAGATCACATCTGACGTGGTCACATGACCCTAGCTGACCTGAGGTCTTGGCTTCATCAGTGTCAGCTAACACAGGACTGGGCCTGGAGGCCCACCATGTCTACATGGGCTGACTGATCCCAGATTTCAGGAGGCTGGTCTGCAGTATCAGGAACCCATTCTGGAGAAAACAGGGGGATTCCAGGAGCCATCAGAGCTCTGGGCTCCAGCAGTCAGGAAAACGTAAGATCAAGGGACTAGATCTGCCCAATATTCACATTAACAACTGTGTCCTTAACATCCCACCAAAGCCTGCAGATACTGATTCTTCTCTAGCCCTCCAAACATAATGGCTAGTCTGTGAGACTGTGCTTGGTTTGCTTGTTTCCTGAGCATCCTTCACAGTTACCCTCCTAGCGTTTCTGTCTCTTGCTGTCCAGGAGCACACCGTCATTCAACTAGTAAGGAAGATTGCAACTTGAACTCCTCATCCTTGGCCTTGAGTCTTGTCTGGATGCTGGAGTGTGCAGAGAGCAAGATGAGAGCTAGCTGGGGGCTCCCCATTAAGGTGGCCCCTGGTCATTCTCAGCCACAAGAATTTTGTATGAATACATTGCACTCCTCTGCTATCCTCTTGATCAAGATAGTATATGTTTAGAAAAAAGTTTCTGTAAGAACAAATAAGAACTGAGAACGCACAGGGAGGAATCTGTAAAGCCAGATCAATTGCCAAGGGGAAGACCCCAGGTGCCCTGTGAGTGGTCAGTGGCCGCTCTGTTGCCGTGTGCACCGAGCGTGCCTGTAGTGCAGACGCTACTGCAGCGACCTCAGATCGGTTGGATCTGGATCTCAGAAGTGGTGTGGCTTGTGTCCCTTCCCAGTGGATGGCGTGTGGTCTTGCTGGTCTGCCTGGTCCAAGTGCTCAGCGACTTGTGGTGGAGGACACTACATGAGGACCCGCTCGTGCACCAACCCGGCCCCGGCCTACGGGGGCGACATCTGCCTGGGGCTGCACACGGAAGAGGCACTCTGCAACACGCAGTCCTGCCCCGGTGAGTGTGCCTTGTTTCTTCCACAGCTCTGGGCAAATTCGCCCGTTCTTCATTCATAAATGGCGAGGTGATGTCGCCACATCATGGTAAGTGCTGAGGGGGGAGACCAGTCCGCCTCACACCGTTTCCTTGACGTGACTTCCACACGCATCGTTCTGCGGTGAACTAGTTCTCACCCTGTCATGTTCAGAGTTAGTGTCCCGAACTTCATCTCGGCAGTGGGAAAGCAGCGTACGTGTTATTTTAACACCCAAACTACCTAATAGGAAATATCCCAATTTGGTCTTGACTTTGCTAATTAACACTGATAATGCAGACAACACTCTGCTGTGTTGAGGGCAGGAGAAAGTTGGAGGAAAGACATGAGCACTTTCCAGTTTCCACGGAGACTGGAGATCTGATCTGGGAATTGCCTGGCATCTGCCCCGCCCTGCCCCAGGCCCAACCTGATGCCTCCCAAGGGTCCCAGACGTGTGTTCCAAGAATGACTTTTAATGTGGTACGGGGACACCAGGCACTCATGGAGGACAGTTCATCAAATCAAAGGGCTGGAATCCACGACACCCATCAGTAGGCAGAGCATCAAAGCAAAGGATGTAGAGCACACTGGCTGCCATGCCACTAAGTGACCGTAGAGTAGAGGCTGACGGCAGGATTGGAGACTGAGTTAACAAAGTCAGCGTGGGAGCAGGGAGGACCTATGGGAAATGTGGAACTGTCCTCAGGACTGGGGTGTGGGAGTGCCAAGCCTGAGACCCACGGCTGACACAGGCCCCACAGATGCCTAGCATCCCTCCCCATCCAAGAAGCAGCTTGACTTTCTGGCGTAGAGGGACCAATTGGAGTAAAAATGAGCCAGTTTTTTCTGGATCTGACTTTGAAACCTCCATACTTTTTTTTAGGTTTTTGCCTTAGGATCTGAGTGCTCACCTAGAGAGAGTCAGAGAGATGGAAAATGAGAAGCCCCTTCCCTCATTCCCCTATGATGGCTATGCCAAAATCTCTTCTCCTTCAGTTTCCTCTTGGGATTTCAGTCATGCATACACATGTGCCTGGTGGCCTTGCCCCAGCACTTGTGCGGTGACCTACAATCTTCAGTGCCAACGGGACAAAATGAATCCCCTCAAGGATAGCCTGACTGGAATATTGACTCCAAAGAATTGTTTTTGTAACAGAAGGGAAAGGATATGTAGTGTCTTCAGGCTCCCATTCAACTGCCAGGGCTTTCTCATACACAGTTATTTCTCTTGCCTAAGGTTGGAGGAATTTTTCAGAACAGGGTTTGAGGGCTGCTGTTCCCAGAGGAGTACTCCCTGGAAGGTGGTGTCTGCACTGCTGATTTCTGGCCCCACAACTGTTGATCTATACACAACTAGAGCTTGTGGGTCAACTCTGTGTGTCTACATACAGGTGGTTTATAGCATCGAGTTATGGTGGATCTTATAGAATGGAATTTAAGCATACTATATCTGGTCAAAGATTAACTAGTACGTCTATTCATCCTTTTGTGTATTTTATTTCCTGCACTAGTCAGAAGATATGAAGATGCTTTAAAGGTTCATGGAAAATGCATACAGTGAGAAAACTATGCATGCATTTGAAATTTTTTTGCAGCAAAATAAATTCAACCTCAATTTCATGTTTCCATGAAGTTTTTGAAATCCCTGGACAGTGCCTTCCATCTGATTGATCTCTCCTCCCCTCCTCTGTCACCGCAGAGAGCTGGTCAGAGTGGTCGGACTGGTCTGAATGTGACCCCTCTGGTGTCCAGGTCCGGGCCCGCCAGTGCATCCTTCTGTTTCCTGTGGGCAGCCAGTGTTCTGGGAACACCACTGAGAGCCGGCCCTGTGTTTTTGACTCAAATTTCATCCCAGGTAAGGGCAGATGTTTATCTAGGTGAACTAAATCATTTCCAACATTTGCAAAGAATATTATTCATTGGCCAGACTTATATCTATTCTTTGAGGCCATGTTCAGCGAAACAGAAATAATTCTATCAACTCTTGTGGTTTCAAGTCATTAAAGTGAAGATTTATAGATAAACTGCAGATTCAGACTTGAATTGAGATTATGAGTTTGAGATTTTTTTAAAGCAGAATGACTTCTACAATTTATTGGTTGTAATTCACTTGGAATTTTGGCTCAAAAATAAAAAAATAGGTTATTGATTATTTTAATATCAGGTAAGATGCTTTGACAATTATCTTTGTGTTGCCACTGAAGAAAAGGATCATTTTCTTTATGTCATTTTGATAAGTTGGGAATTGGAAACTTGTTATTTTCATCTTGTAGAGGAGGTTGGTTGTCGCTCTTGTGACAGGCTTTTCAGGTGGAATCAATGTGTAGTCATTAGTGGAGGTGAGCTTTCTGTTGCATGCTCTGTGTTGCACGCTCCCTGCAGGTGGGTGCAATGTAAGGGAGTAAACCAGTTAGCATGTGCCCGCTGTGTGCCTTCAGAACCTGATGGACCTAAGGAAGGTGACCTAGGAGGGCTCACAGCTACCAGCCAGATTTTCTTTGTTTTTCTCCATTTGTGAAAATGATAATACTGTTTTTGAGAACATGATAGCTTTAGCCTTATGAAGTACTTCCTGTATAGTATAGAGCTGCTAGCATGCCTGTTATCATTTTCATTTTAACCATAGACATATTTTCATCCTTACTACTTAATTAAAACATAAAACCAGTGCAGGAGAAAGATGTTCCTAGACTCCTGAAATGGTATTTTATTCTTTGAGTTGAAACACAGAGGAGACCTGTCCTCTCATTGGCATCCTGCTTGTGGGTTTCCTACATGGCACAGGAAAAGAGTATGAATAGTACCCAGTAGTGACATGTCTGATGATGCTCTTGCACTCTGGTGAGTAGGGCCTATCTCTGCAGGGAATGTGACAATGCTGGCTTTGATGAAATAAAAAATCTGAAACAGGAAACCACAAGAAAACACTGTCAGGGGTTCTGCCACTAGCAGAGTACCTTGAAACAGAAAGTCAGCCCACTTTCTGGTGTCAGCCCAGGGGACCATAGCATTTTCTTTCTGTGCTAATGAATCTCACCCCTTCTCAGTCAAATCCATTTCAGGTTGGCCTAACAAAATATAGCCCCCCACACACATACACACAAACACACACACACATAGTCACCAGGAAAGTCATGATGCATTTTTACATAGAAAAATACATCATGACTTATCTGACAACCTAATATGAGAGAGAGAGAGAAAGAGAGAGAGAGAGAATTAATCAGACTTAAAATTTTGACCCACATAAAGTTCAAAATCATTAGACGTTTTATAAATGAATCATTAATATGAAGTTTCCCAACTCTCTTTACACATTGTGATTTGATGTTTGTTTTTCCAGAAGTATCTGTGGCAAGATCCAGTAGCATGGAAGAAAAAAGGTGTGGTGGTAAGTTCTTCTTTTTCACTTATTTCTCATCAGCATTCTGATATATCCCAATCAGTCCTCTTCCAAACATTTCCCACAATGTTTCTATTATTGGCCAAGAATGACACACTGAAAATACTGGATGCAAACATCTTATGCCTTGGTAGAAATGCTAAAGTCAGTATCTGACACAGGGCTAGTGGTTCTCCAAGTTGGATTCCTGGACCAGCATCATCAGCGTCACTCAGGAACATGGTGGAAATGCAAGTTCTCAGGCCCAACTTCAATCTACCAAACAGGAACTTTTCTGAGTGGGGCCCAGAAATCTGTGGTTTAATAAGCTCTTTGGGGGACCAGCAGATGGTGTAATGGTTACGTCGCTAGACTCCCACATAGTTGACAATGGTTCGAGTCCTGGACCCGGTGACTTAAAACTCATACTCAGTGCTTGTACATGCCCAAGATCCCAAGAGGAAAATGGAGGAGAAGGGATTGCGATGTGGCCGTTTTCCTGGGGGATGATTTCCCACTTTCTGTCTTTCTGTCTTTTTCTGTCTGACCGGTGAGCGCACATACCCTACAGCAAAAATCTCTCTTAAAAAAATAAATAAATAAGCCCTTTGGGTGATTTTGATGCATGCTGAAGTTGGATTTCCCATAAATAGAATAGAATTCAACCAATTAGTTTCTATTTGTAGTGCAAATTCATGGCAGCTGTTTCATGTCTCCAACCCTCTGGGGTGACTCAATTTTAGTGAGGCCCAAGATGGCACCTATATTAGTAGGGGGAGCTTTCAAACTACTTATAACCCTGAATATTTTCAAAAATAATAGTAAATTATTGGAGACTTCCTCTGTCCTTCGAATCTGTGATAAATTTGGACTTTGCAGCCTGTGCCCTATGTATGTCCATAACATACTTACCTGCACTGTGGACCAGCCTGGGTAGAGGGGGCACTGCCCGGTGCCCAGAGCACAGCCCCTGTGTGCTCTGATGGGCTAATCAGCATCTGTGCCAAGACGTCCATCCTCACGTGTGAGTGCTGAGGTGCACATCCCCAGTCCTGCCGTGTTCCAGCCTGCAGGCCCCAGAGCACTCAGCCTACCAGGCGTTGGTCTCTGCTTATGCTCACATGAAGCTGGGAGCTTCATGTGAGTGTGTTAGGAATGTGCTTACTGGGACCAGCAAACAACGTAATGGTTACATCACTGGACTTCCATGTAGTCGACTGCAGTTCAAGTCCCAGACTTGGAGGTTTAAAACTCACACGGAGAGCATGTGGGTGCATGCCCAAAATCCCCAAAGAAGAATGGAGGAGAAAGGATTGCAGTGTGACTATCCCCCCTGAGGGGGTGATTTCTTGCTTTCCATCTCTCTGTCTCTCTGGCGAGTGTATGCACCCTATAGCAAAAATCTCTCTGTAAAGAAAAAAAAGAATGTATGTATTCTTACTAACTATTGGGCAAGTCATGATGTATTTTTCTGTTTTTCTATGCAAAAATGCATCACGACTTTTCCAACTACTCATGATTAGGAGCTCACATTACATTCTGTTTAGTCAGCCATTCATTAACCTAGTCATTCGTTCACTTAATAATTGTTGCTGAGCACCCCCAAGCCAGTTTTGGGATGAACATCAAGCTTCTACTTAGGATCTGAATAGCCTGGTCCCTCTGGAGCCGGCAGTCACATCCTAAGAGACCCTGGTGCCTGAGAAAGGCAATGTCTGCTGTCTGACCTGAACTGTTGAATGCTGACTGACAGCTACCAGCATGAGGCCCGACACACAGATGAATACACATAAAAATGCCCGACTGTTATATCCGCTAATATTGGCAGGTCCGTCACTCCATGCCAGATGCTGTAGCAGATGCTCAGACAAACGATATCCCGTCTGGTCCCAACAAAGTATTCGCGTAGGTACCCCAGGCCACACTTCTGTATGTGAAACTCCTGGAGAGAAAGAAGGGTTTGGAACTCAGTATTTTCGAGGCTATCAAAGGATAATGTAAGGTCTATACTGTATATTATATAGCATGCCCACAAGGCCTCTGGCTGCACTCCTTAACTAATAGAGCCACCAGGAAATGTGGCCCAAGAGAAGATGCTAATGTTATTTTTTTGGAGTTCTGGCCAGATTCTGCAACAAAATGGGTCTGAGCAGGTCATGCTTTGCTGCCAGATGAGTGATGGAAACTCAGATTTTAGAGATTTTGCACATGAACACTGTAGAAAGAGTGACTGAGTAATTTAATCTGCACTTTATAAATTGGGACTGTGAGGCTCAGAGAGTAGAGGTCACTGTCCCAAGTTCATAGATAGCAATGGAGCCGGGGTGAGATCTAGGCAGCGGCACTAGTAAGTTTCAAACCTGAAGCACTCCAGGAGAGCGGTCCTATGCAAGTGTCCAGGAGGATTGTGTCTAGGGACCCAGAAGCCCTGGTCCAGGGCATTTCTTGCCCTCAGGGAAGTGCAGGTCAGGATTGGAGCAGAGTTTATAGGAGCTCCTGGTCCTCAGAGAGACATGATAGACCAGAACCTGGGGGTCAAGGAGCACATGCCTCAGCGGAGTTGCCCAGCCATCCTTGCGTACTCTGTTGGTGACACCCTGAGCAGCTACGTGGGACTCCTTCAAGGATGTGAACACCAGAAAAATGTGGCAAAGCCATCCTTACCCTCAGATGCTCTTCTCAGTGTCCAAAACAGCTGTGCCTGATTGCTGCATGTACCAGAACCAGGCCTTGAGATGCTATTGGTTAAATCACAGAAGTTTTAATTACAATATTCAGAACTGACTTTTTTTTAGATCTTTAGCTACTGAATTGATGTAACAGCACAATCAGGTAAGATACTGGATGGATCTAAGTGTAGGGCTCATAGGGGAAAACAACTACCTAGCAAGAGTGTTTTGGGATGTTTAGGGGGAAAACATAGATGTGTTTCTCAGTTTGTTGAAAAATCAATCAAACTTTGCACGGAAAACCAGCCTATTGAACCAAGTGCTTAGTTGGTCTCTTTTCCAGCTTGATTGACCAAAAACAGGAGCAACAAAAGCATATTCAAAGGAAAGAACCATACTAAGTGGACTCAGAAGAGATTTCATAGACACTGTATTTTCCTCTGCTGAAAAATGTGCTCCTATTGAGATTTCTCAACTTAGAGAGCTATTTTTAGTTGCAGGAGACACAAAGACTATATAATCATCATGAAGATGTCAGCTGGCCCCAGCCTTCCCCAGGCACCTGCTGGAAGGGCTCATTTACTAATGCCAAAGCGTCTGCATATGGAGACCGTCATGCATCTTCCGATGTTGTGATGGAACATGAGTTAGTGCAGCAGAAAGTATCTTTTTGTCCGTATGTGGCATTAACCCTGGGGAGCCCTAACATCTCAAGTGCCACCAAGAGAGAACTTGTGTGAAACCAGTGCTTGCTTATCTTAAGTACTGCTCCGGAGTCACAGGGAAAGATCCCAGAGGTTGCTGCGGAAAGGCCCTGAAGGCTTTATTGACCTGTCACAGGCTGGAATCTCCAGCTCCAGAGCCTTCATGACAATATCAGGAAAGACCAGAGACTAGTGATGTCCCTCATCTCCCTCTGCCCTGACCAGATGAGCCAGAAATGAAAAGTCAACATGGTTGTGAGGTCCTGGGTGACACTCATGGAATGTTCTAGTAATGTCCTCCTGCACTGTCCAGCCCTTAGCACTGAATGCACTGGGTCCCTTTGTTAGGAATTGCATTCTTCTCCTGGAATCTCAGTGCTTAGGAGGGTTGTGTTAGTTCTGGCCGACAGAGAACCCGAGGGAAGGCAGCTTTGGTCACTGACCACACCTCAGGAGGCAGATCCACCTCCAGGGCCCTGGGTTACTGACTGACGTGGCTGGAAGTGGCGAAGGAGCACAGCTTAGAGGATAAAGCTCAGAGTGTAGGGACAGGTGACGGGTGCTCAGCCTCTGCCACATAGCACAGGTGACCTTGACGGAACCTCCAGACCGAGGCTCAGCTTCTCTGGGGACTCTCAGCCATCTCCAGGTTGATATGAGGTCCAGGAGGAACTCAGGATGAGTCCTGAAGTCCCAGTGGCTAGTGGCCCTGGAGGAAGAGGACCTGGCTAACCCTTTCACACCAAGTGCCCCGGCCCCATGGTTGGCGCTGGCTGGACTAGGACTCTTCTGGGTGGGAAGCATTGGGAATGGGTCTGAGGTTCTCAGATCTCAAAGTGGCTTAGAGAATCCCTAGGGAAGATGCCAGGCAGATAGGATGCAAACTCCCCCGGCCTCGGGTATAGGGCACCTGCAGGCTCTTCTCACCCACCCAAGAGCCCTGAGGCTTTGTTCTACACCCAAGGGATGCCCAAGGGCATCTCCAGTAGTTTCCCTTGGGACCAGGTTAACAGATCAGAGGAAGCATCTGGTGATGTTCCACCCTGGCGGTGTATGAAGAGGACCACGGGAAAGTGAGGTGTCCTCAAGCTGCCCACGAATCCTAAGGACATGGAGCCCTTCACAGGTGTTACATGGTGCAGGTCCAGGCGAGGACAGACAAGGGCATGTGCTGCTTTTTCTGATTCTAACTGAGCCCAGCCCCACAGCACTGCCCAGGTGTTGCCTTTGTCCGCTGAAAAGCTTGACACTAATCATCCTGCTTTCCCAACACATGGTGAGGATCAATGTTTTTGCTGTTGTTGCTCAGACCCAGGCAGGTCTTGGTATGTCAGCTTTGTTTCATTCGAGCCAATCTTATTTTACAGAGGTAAGTCCTCATGGGCTTGTCTTTGTGTGTTTTATATTTGTCACTCAAGGAAAATAAATCAAAGAAACAGAGGAGATGCTTATAGATAGGAAGGGAAAGGTAAAGTGAGGGTCACTTCATGACCATGTAAAAGATTTCATTTTACTCCTTTAATGCAATCTTTTCTTTCTGTGGAGTAAACCACTTTGTTGATAAGATCTCCAAAATACAATGTGAATGGAAAATTGATGCCCAGAAAAACATTTACACACACGCACACACGGCACATGAGTGGACAGACCAAGAGAGACTACTTAAAACAATGAACTCTGAAAGAAGGAAGACTTATTTCTTACAGACCCTTTATACTCTCTAATGATATATACTATTGAGAACATGACAGAAAATAGAAGAATTTGTGTCAAGGAAAATCTATTTATTTATCTATTTATTTGCTGTAGGGCAAGTGGTCTTTCCAGAGGCAGAGACAGAGAGAGAGAGAGAAAGTGAGAAATCACCCCCAGGGTGATGGCCAGGCCACAGTCCCTTCTCCGTAACTCTCCTCAGGGTTTGAGGCACATTAGACACATGCCTGGGACTCCAACTGCCGTCAGCCATGTGAGATTCAGCTTGTTAATCTCCATGACACCTGCTGGCCCATGGGAAAACATTTTCAATTGACTAATACAGGAGAGGAGCATGCTGGTGAGCAGTGATGTGCAGTGAGGTGCCGTCCCTCTCTGTTCATGGGCACAGCCACACTGCATGCGCTGGAGCTCAGCCGGCCCTGCAGCACCATAAATGGCTTGTGGAAACCCCACAGCCTTCAGGTTATGCCTTCCCTGACATGAGAACCACGTTGTCAAGCCTTCAAAGGAAAAAACCAATCCTACTGGTGTTTGAGGTGTCCCCAAAGAACTGATTATAAAATGTTAGAATGAGGACTTAACCTCACCATGCCCACAGTGTAGACTTCTCTCAAGGCCATGACATTGCACGGAAAGACTGATGTCTTTACCTGAGACCAGGGCAGGGCTTTGTGCTGTGTCTTGTCTGTCATGGCGGCACGTGGAGTGTGGGGCAGTGGGTTCTCGCAGCGCGCCTCACATTGCTCCTGTCCTCCCAGAGTTCAACATGTTCCACATGATTGCCGTGGGACTGAGCAGCTCCATCCTCGGCTGCCTCCTGACCCTGCTCGTCTACACCTACTGCCAGCGGTTCCAGCAGCAGTCCCACGATGCGACTGTCATCCACCCTGTCTCGCCTGCCCCCCTCAATACCAGCATTACTAACCACATCAACAAACTGGACAAATACGACTCGGTGGAGGCCATCAAGGTGAGCAGTCGGCAGTGACAGCTGCAGCCAGGGGGGCAGAGAAGGCAGGTGGGCCCTGGGGCTGAAGCACGGTTCACTGGGGTGGTGCTGGTGACGAAGATGGGGCAGGGTAGGGGTACCTTGTGATGAACTGCCTTTGAAGCTTGCTTTGCCTGTGGAAAAAGGCACCTCATATGGAGAATGTAAGTTTAAAAGGGGATATGAAAACAGCAATGATAAAATACTGGAAAATATTGGGCCTTGGGCCAGTGTAGGGCTCCATTTCACCTGTGCCTTCCACACCCAGAGAGAGGTCTCACATCCCAGAAGAGCTGCTGACTGAGGGTCTCACATGAACGGATGGCAGTCGTGGGGACAGGACAGTGGTCAGACGCCCAGGTTCAATCCGGAAACCCCTGCCAGGCTTCAGTGCAGGATTGCATTATTACATAAACCATCTTCGAGTACTTTTCAAGCATAAGAAAGGCCTTCATCTTCGCACGGTGTGACCATGCTGTAAGTGGTGTGGGGTGACCTTACTTTCAACACTGGAGGTTAGCCGAGCTTTCAACCCAGAGATTTAGACTAAATGGCCAGTTTCCTTTATGTTGTCAGGAAGGGGAGGTGCAGCGAGTATCCGGTGTAGACCTGACAGATCGGAGCTCACCAGGCAGCCCCAGAGCTTCCCAGCTGGGGGAGCTTCGGCCAGCTGCTTTTTCTCACTAGGCCTCCATGTTCTCCCTGTTTGTGGGAGATTATGAGACTCAAAGGAGGTAATTCACAGAAAGTGTTGTGAATAAATGTGGTTGTCGTCTGAGACATTTAGCAGTAGGATTCAGAGGACATGGGACTCATTTGGCCTCAGCTTCGCCATCTTTAAAATGCACGTAGCAAGACATACTTCCTGTTCCTGTGGTGAGGTTTCAGCAGGCTTCCCAGCACTAAGGAGGCAGGAGCTGTGTTCCTGTTGTGTCTACGTGACCATCAGGTGTCACTGAAAGACCCCAAGGGCGCTTGCTATGGCACTCAACTCCCCTTTGTACCCATGTGAATAAGGGAATTCTCTTGAGCTAAATTAACTATATTTTGATATTCCTGTTAAGCGACTGACTTTAAAAAAAAAATTCTTAGGGACTATTTTGACATCCTCTCTCTGTTAATGGCTTCTTTTGAAGTAAAATGTCCTTTCTGTGTGAGAATACGGCATGTCTTTGGCCCTCGTGACGGCAAGCTCTCGCAAGGTCTTGTGTCATGGGGCTCAGTGTCCTCCCGCCTTCGTGGCCTCTCTTCCCCACCACTTGGACAGAGACAGAATCAACTGACTTTTACCCATGGGCTGTGCTTAGGCCAGAATCCAGAACCCATCAGCACCAGTTAAGGATAGACCCAGAGACTGGAGCACCAGGCATTAGTAACACACCCCTCATTGTCTCTCTGAATGGAGTGTCCAGAGTACGAGGGGGCATGAGCTGCTTCCACACGCAGTACCCTTCCAGACACACTTCAAGGTCCTCTGATGGTGCCTCTCTCTGATATTCCAGCACTCAGATTGTCTGTGGTCTCTGATGTTCAAGAAGATTACCTAGCTGGTTCTGTGTTTCCACCTACTATCTAGTATCTATTTGTTTTTTTGAGAGGTATTTGCTATAGGGCGCGTGCGCTTGCCAGACAGACAGAGAGAGACAGAGAGATAGAAAGCGAGAAATCACCCCCCAGGCGGGTGGTGAGGTTTCAGCAGGATTCCCAGCACTAAGGAGGCAGGAGCTGTGTTCCTGTTGTGTCTACGTGACCATCAGGTGTCACTGAAAGACCCCAAGGGCGCTTGCTATGGCACTCAACTCCCCTTTGTACCCATGTGAATAAGGGAATTCTCTTGAGCTAAATTAACTATATTTTGATATTCCTGTTAAGCGACTGACTTTAAAAAAAAAATTCTTAGGGACTATTTTGACATCCTCTCTCTGTTAATGGCTTCTTTTGAAGTAAAATGTCCTTTCTGTGTGAGAATACGGCATGTCTTTGGCCCTCGTGACGGCAAGCTCTCGCAAGGTCTTGTGTCATGGGGCTCAGTGTCCTCCCGCCTTCGTGGCCTCTCTTCCCCACCACTTGGACAGAGACAGAATCAACTGACTTTTACCCATGGGCTGTGCTTAGGCCAGAATCCAGAACCCATCAGCACCAGTTAAGGATAGACCCAGAGACTGGAGCACCAGGCATTAGTAACACACCCCTCATTGTCTCTCTGAATGGAGTGTCCAGAGTACGAGGGGGCATGAGCTGCTTCCACACGCAGTACCCTTCCAGACACACTTCAAGGTCCTCTGATGGTGCCTCTCTCTGATATTCCAGCACTCAGATTGTCTGTGGTCTCTGATGTTCAAGAAGATTACCTAGCTGGTTCTGTGTTTCCACCTACTATCTAGTATCTATTTTTTTTTTTTGGCGAGGTATTTGCTATAGGGCGCGTGCGCTTGCCAGACAGACAGAGAGAGACAGAGAGATAGAAAGCGAGAAATCACCCCCCAGGCGGGGATGGTCACACCGCAGTCCCTTCTCCTTCATTCTCCTCTCAGGATCTTGGGCACACACGCACACGTGCCTGGCTTGAGTTTAAGCCACCGGGTCCGGGACACGAACCGCGGTCTACTACGTGGGAGTCCAGCTACATAACCATTATGCTAACTGCTGGTCCCTAGTATCTATTTTTGAGATTATAAATGCTGGACTGCCAAAAAGGTAAAGGACTCTGAAGGCATGGAGCCTCCCTAGTCTTCACTGAATTCTAGAATTTCCTTCTGACCCCTTGGCCCAACCAGTCCCAGAGTCAGCATCTGCTGTCCCTCCTTCAGTTGAATCCAGTGTTTACCCTCTGCCTGGAACAGTGTAGCTCTTTGGAATTGCAGGGCCTTAATGACTATCCACGAGGAAGGGCATCTGTATGAGAAATGGCTACAGTAGTTACCTCCTAGCAAGATTCAGTATGGAAAGAAAATAACACATTTGGAATCTAATGCATTTACTGAAGAATAAATTCTGTCAAGGTATCCGGTAAATCTATCTGTCCATGGTAATCTGAAAGCTACTTACATATCTACTCAGTTACATGTGATAATATTCCAAGTCTCTCTATCTGTAATCACTAGAGTTTTACATTTTCTAGAAGTTTGGATTTAGGTGTTCTAGCCCACTGCTTCTCAGAAACTTCCTGACTGAAGTTCAGAAATAGACGGGAAGGTATAGTAAATGACCAGTCTCCTTGTAGCTGTTGGCAAGTCTTCCATGAGGCAAATTATCTGGGAAAGAAAGTAAGTGAAAACATACATTTTAAAATAATGGAGCCTTGGGAAAGAGCTCGAATCGAACATTATAGTCTCCTAATTACATTCTTTCTGAAATACTTACAGAGCATTCTTAAATCTTTTCTTTTTATATTTTACAGGCATTTAACAAAAATAACTTGATCCTAGAGGAAAGAAATAAATACTTCAACCCACATCTCACTGGGAAGACCTATTCGAACGCCTACTTTACAGATCTCAATAATTATGATGAATACTAATAGCTCCTATATTTTTGGCTTCTTGTAAACCCTCAGTTCCTCAAGGCCTGTGCTCCGTGACTGTCCATGTCTCTGAGGCTTCAGAGATGAAATCTGGATACATTTCAAGTGCATTTCAAGCCACGAGTGTCCCATTACTGCCACAAGTACGCATCCCTAAAAGCAACAAAAGCCTAAATATGATTTTGTGAAAATCTGGTCTACAGTTCTTGATCATTGCTGTGTGAGCCATGATGTGAAGCTCTTTGTCATGTTCAGCCCATTTCCTAACAAGCCTGTTGTGTTCTTGAACTTTATTTCATACTAGCACCACCCCACATTAGAAGGAGTCTTTAGAAATGCGAGCATCTTGATTTTGAATACAAATCTTCATGATGTTTTGGAGAACATAGGCACTTTATCTGAGAGCTTCCCCCTCCCCCGCAAGGAGTTCTTAGGGTCATTCTGATACGATGAAGAAGGTGAATAAGGCTGGACAATTATTCACCGGGACTCTCTCCTCTTCCCTAATCTGGATAACACCGTGGACTTTTTGGAAATAGATTTAATTCTTTCCTGGGAAGGGCCAGGGCTTCCTCCAGCCCTGTAGCTGCAGAGATGATGGTCGACTATGAGAAGCTCCACCTGGCCTCGGGTCTGGATGTAGTTCCTGGGTTATCACAGTGGAGGCGAGCATGCAGGGCAGAGCACAGGCTCCGGGATCATGAACGTTACTGTAGGTTGCTGCAAAGCCAGCCTTACCCTGTTCTGGATCTTAAGGCATCCCAAGGCACTCCTTGTCACACTGATGGCCTGGAAGCTACTTGTCTCATTCTTAGTAATTTCCTGAAGAGTCAATCTATAAAATAACCACATGTGTAGCATTTGGGTAGACTATACGCCTTTTCTCTCCCCTCAAAGAAAAATCTTGGACATTTACTATGCCAGTTGGGGAAAGGATTCCAAGTATTGAACTCCATCAAGACAGCTTTTTTTTTTTCTGTCATGAAAGTATTGGAAGAACTTAAATTTAATGCAAAATAACATTTTATTTTCAATCTGTCTGACTTAGCTAATGTACAGCAATCAACCCCTGCCAAGAGCATTAATGACGTGTGAAGCTGACTTTCTGGAGCCTGCCGCAGTCCACACTTGAAGAGCTCCCCCACCTCCGTGCTGTCACTTGCTGCCTCCAGGAGAGGGGGAAGAGGCAGGAAGAGATATTTAGCTTTGGTGCCTTTTCTGTTATCTCAGCCCTGCCTTCTGTCCACCCTATCCCACTCAGCCCCACTTCCCCCTGTATGGAGGCCACGTGCTTCAAGATGCACCTTGGGAAGTCAGGGTAGCTGAAAGTAAGGCCCTTAATGATCCCTGAGGTCTCAGTATTGATAAACATTTCCGGATGCTACGGCATTTATAGATGTCCCCAGGGGGAAAATTACTCACAATCAACTGATTCCTAACATATAGCAATTGACTATATAATTATTAAAAGTAATAACAAGATTGAAATTGTTCATCTCATGCCTCTGGGCATTATGAGAAAGGCTTGAGTAGACATTAGAAAACATGTTCTGATGATGAATGAGCCTTCAGATCTGTGAAAATACATAGTATGAGTAATGTGGGATACATAATTTAATTACAATAGCATATGTGTTCTATTTAAAGAAACTATTTCAGAGAGTATTGAAAAAACAATCCAGTTTAGCAATGAATATTCTCAAGTTCAAAATACTTTCATATGTCCAAAGTTACAAAAATGTCTCCATTAAAACTAAGGTGAACATGGCAGGTGGGCTCTGGGGGTCTGTTTGATGGAAGTGCTGAATTCTGTGTCTCTCCAATGGAGGGTCCATGCCGTCATCTCGTGTGTCCCTCATCTGTAGTCTCAGAGTCCTAAGTTCAGTCAGTGGGTGAAATTTCCCCGGCTGTTTTCCCAATTGTTCCTGGGTTTAATTTTCACTGGACACTCCAGCCCATCTCTTTCGTATAAGAAAAAAAATAATAAAAACAAAAACGAAAACAAAAAAAACAACATTGCCACTCTTTATAGCACATGTTAGCTCTTTTTTAAAATTTCTCCACCCAATCTTTTCTAAATGTAGAAGGTCATTTTATTTTCCCTGGAAAAGAGGATACTTATATTTTGATAATATGTCTGTGGGTTTGATGTAACATGCTTTCTCAAACAACATCTAGATCAACTTTCTGCAATGACTGGAGATACCAGACTCCTTTGACCACAGAGCTCCATGTGGTGCTCATGATAAAAACCTTTGGAATTAGCACTCCAAAAACTCCCTTTAGTTTTGGCCCTCTAAGACTCTGTCTATAGGAATAGAATCTCAGAGTCGGATTCTCACTTAAAAGAATAGCATTGGCTTAGAAAAGTTCTAGCACTATTTTGTATTTTAGCCAGCTGTGGAATCACTATTGTTTCCCATGACTGTGCAGGAATTGTTCCTGTGTGTGTGTGGGCTTCACACTCGTTCCCCTCCTTGCCACCCTCACAGGGGGGATCATGCAGGACATATACCCTCTCGGTCAATCCACACCTCCTTCATCAAGCAGCACCTCATTAGGCTGGGATAGTTGGGATTTCTGCTGGAATCTTGTGGGTCACACGTTAAAATCCTAGATGACTTTTTCATTCTTTATTTCCTTCTTTTTTTTTTTTTTATTTTTTGGCACAAGCAGAATGAAGAGGGTAATTTTTAAGCTGCACTGCCCTGAACCTGAAGTAAAATGGCATTCGTTACAATTTACCTTCTACAGTTATTTCTGGACTTGGATGAAGTTTGGTTTTCAACACGAAGCTGGCTTTAGTCTTGCATTTACATTATTCGAAAGTGACTCCCGGTGTTATTCAGCATCCTCTCTCTAGACTAGACTAGTCACGAGTTAATATCAATCCCATAGCACACGCAGGTTACCTGCAGAATCCCTGCATTTTGCACAGATAGTAGCCTTCTCATAACTCTAGAGACAAGTAGGATTGATGAAGCTAGGGACTCATCCTTGAATGGTATGGATTCAGAGAATTCTAAAGAGCTGAAGAAGAATTACAAGTGGTGAATGAGCATCTCTGCCATAGAGAAACCTCTGTCCCCAGGTAGGCTCAGTTCACAGGGTTGGAGTGAACCAGAGGTCTGGCCCATTGATTCCCAGGTGATTCCAAACAGAGAAGGAGGAAGTGTAGGACATGGTTTAACAAACAGGGGATGAGGGAGGTGGGCTCTGGCCACTCCCAGGTGTGTGTTATGGATGATTCTGAGTAGGGATCCTGATAAGGTACACAGCTCTGAGGTCTGTCCTCGGACTCTTCTGGGTTTTAGCTGAAAGTGTCCTTATTTCCTTATTTATGTGCAAGAGGATGAAAACACACATGTGTGTCAACACCTAGTTGAGTGAATGTTTTCCACCAGAACCCTTGGCAGAATTAACGGGTCCTGTCTTCAAAGTTACAGACATAGTTTCATCTCTGGGGACTCCATGCCCCTGAGATACTACCTGAGGGGATACATTAGAGTGGAACTGAATAGTCAAGGGAATTCTATCATAAAAATATATAAAGTGTGTACTTAGCTAGTCATTTTGTCTGAACATGGCTTTGCCAGCATTTGAATTTACACATATGCTTCTTTACAAACTTTTTCTTGCTTTTAGGATAAATTGTGTTTTCCTAATACTGTCAAACCACTTTCTTCACCAACTTTCCTCCAAGGCTGTCAACTCTCTTTAGCCTCAGGGTGTCCTTTACACTTCAGTGGGTTTTCTAGTGTGTGGAATTTTGGGGTCATCCCATTGAGTCCAGCATTTCCATCTCAGAAGGTGACTCTAGGGCACCTAACCCAGGGTACCAGTGGCTGGTATAGTGAACTGAGCGTTTGCTACAGGATGTGCTGGACCTGACTCCAAAGCTCCAGTAATTGATGTCTAAGAAGATATTACATTAAAACAGTAACCTGAAACACAGATGCAAATTCTCTGCCAGTCTTTTTAATAAAATACAAAGTGTAGATTGCAGATGGCATTGGCCACGCCTAGCACATCTATCCACTCTAACATCTCCAATGTCTCATGTCATAGTGCACTTGACAACTTATGCTGGCCTGACATTGTCACTTTTTGATTACTTGTGCATATCTTTGATTATCTATGATTGCCTATCATCAGACACTAGAAGCCATACTGGGACCCCTGCTTCACTGGGCAGTGGATGTGAAACAAGAGAGCATAAAGTACTATTCATGTAGACCTTAAAAATACACAGAAGGGAATGCCACGCATGGTATATTATGTAAGATTAAATGTTTAGAATCCAGGGAACATCATGGAATTTATTTCTGCTCTTTTCTGCTGTTGAGGTCATTACATATAATGGATTTAAAGATGTCTCATAACTCCACAAATACCAAGCCAAGGCATTCAGATTACCTGCTTTGATAGCATGACAAATTATGACAAACAGAAAATGTGTTGCTTTAATATTTGCCTTTTTTGTCCTTCGGCAGTTGAAAAATATTGAACAAAATGTGATGTTGGACTTCTGGCAGTGGTTTCTAAAACGACTCTTCCATACTACTTTCATGCAGCCTTATATTAAAGATGCATTATATACAGCTTCTAGCAGATGGATCAGAGTCTCATTCAAGGGCCATGAGCTGCTTTATCAGAAATCTGGTACATGTTACAGAAGCGTCAAGAACAGAAAACTACTCTCGTCAGAAGATACTGTTCACACTGCCAAGTGACTTAGAGCAACATTAAAGCCAGACCCGAAGCCCAGCAGAAAGGGTGCAGTTCCTCAGTTCCCAGTGAAACTGTCATAAGAGGGTCTTTCAAGAAGGTTGTGTCATAGACAGAAATCAAAATTATGACCCAGATCAGAGTTTGTATCTGCCCTCCTTCAAAAATGTTTGACTGTGTTTCCACAGTAAAGCTGACTAGTCAAGGACACGTTCAAACCTGGAAGGAGAAAAGCATTCTGTGGCATTTCTTAAACTAAACCATAGGTCAGGCAAGGTAACTTACTCCACCTTTTTAGTCAGAAGTATGAGGCCCATAGTTCCTGTGTGCTGCTGTTCTTTCTCAGCTTTTTGGCAATTTAGTGCCAAATGGTCCAAATGTTAGAGGAATTAAATAGTAAAATGTTTCAGATGTTAGATAAATACAGGTTGGGAGCACAATTCACTTTCTGGTAAAATAGCACTTCTATCGTGTCAGTAAAAAGAGCACATCCTTAGCTGCCCTCTCTGTAAGTTCAGATACTTTACTTTCCTACAGAAAATGTTGCTAGTGCCTTGGTTAAGATGATGCTCTGTCATTTCACCTGGATATTACTAATTCTTATCGGAAGCAGAGGATCTATCAGATCTACTGTAAAGAAAATCATTCTTATTTACCTCATTGAACTGAGGAATGGAAAATGGTCAATAAGTATTTCGTCATCAGGTGTTGTTGTCCCCTGGGAAATGTGGGCTAGTAAGTTAAGAAGAGGGTTAATCCAGTCACACACTTTCAGAAGCTGATCCCACACCAATTTCCACATCCTCCAGAAAACACGGTGGTTTTTGTGCTGTAATAAGAAAATCAGTGTGATGCTAGAGAAGTTATAGGTGTTTGTTTTTGCTCCTTTTTAGGCAGGTCCATAAATACAGGAAAGTCAAATACAGGCTCTGACAGCTGGCACAGGTAATGGTGAGTACAGAGTGAGAACCACCTAGAACATTGCCTGATCTTTTTTGTAAGTGTTGCACAACTTCATGTCACAGAAGTTAGTAAGAAAGTTAACGATGTTTTCTCTGCTAAACTTGATGGCTTTTCCCTTATACCATAATTTTTGGACAAAATCAAAGGGAGGCTTCCATAGTATAAAAGAAAGCACAATATGAACCTTCTACCCAAGCACCTAGAGTCACCACTGAAGTGCTATGTCATCTGCAAAGAAAATGCACAAACTTGGTCCATTGTAGGGTCCTTTGGAAGTGTGTAGCAAAGTTCGTGTGTATGCCACCTGATGTGACTTTTAAAGATGTTATGAAATGTTAAATGCCTCATTTTGTGTTAATTTGGTGTTACTTGTTTTGTGATACAAAATAAACTTATTTGTGATGGTTTCCTTTTGTTTTTCAATTGAACTTTCCCCTAAGTCAACCTCAGCCTTTGAAGACTTCCAGAAAGTTATTGATCTTAAAATTAATTTTGAAAAGGAAATCTATGTTAATTATAAAAAAAGTGTCCTTGTTTGTTTTTTATCATGTGATAATTTTACATTTCTCCTTCTTTTGAATGAGCAAACGGAGCATTGGTTCCCATATTAGAATGTTCCTGCATTACCCTCATGGGGCCATTGGGCACACCATGCTTTTTTTCAATTCTTACATTTGATAGTCAAGATTTCTTTCAAGACCTGCTTCCTAAACATGTACAATAGAAATTTCCCATGGGTGGCACTTTTATCTTTTTGGTACATCCAGTCACTGGTCTTAAATTCTTTCTGAGCTGTCCAGGTCTGTATTTTAGATTGTGGCTTTACGACATTGACAGATGTGGAGCTTCTCAAATATCAGGTGAGACACTAATTGTAGTAACCCAGGCAGGGAGCTCATTACCTGCTACATTGGGTCAATTATGGAAGTTTGAGAAAGTGTGTGTGTGTGGGGGGGGGTTACCCAACTGGTCAACAGAAATCAGCTCAAACCTGCTTTGACCATCCATGCTGAAAAAAGCAAATTAATTTAGAAAATTAAATTAGCTATTATTACAGAACTGAAAATATCACACACACCCACTGCTCTTGGTGAACTGCCAATTGATCTCAACCTTACTCATCTTTTTTTTGAAGTAGCTCATGAAGAATGTTTCTGAGTACTCCTAACGGTGCAGCAGTCTCCCTTTCATAGCATCCCTCTCCTCACCATCTCTCTCTATGAACAGTTTTGGAGTACAAAATAAGAAAATCCTGATTATGTACAGTATAAATTGTATTATATTTTTTGTACTTATGTTTTATGTAAATAGTTTGTCTCATTCAGTTGTATGTGAGCATCGAAATAAATCCTATCATTTAGGAAACAATTTAGTGGTATTTTTCTTTGATTATCTTCAAAGTCTCCTGGAACCCCAGATTTGCTAAGGTTTGATCACCTTAAGATTTGAAGATGTGAGCTGTATCAGAGTAAGACTGGACAACCTCCTGGGTAGGTCTCCTCCCTCACTTCCATCTCCGAATTGTGAAGTCACTTCCTGTTTCCTACTAGCAGATGTTTGCCATGTGATCTCTTTTTTGCCTCCTTCCAGTGAAAGGTAGTGGTACTGGTTAAACCCCTTTATCTTACAGAGAAAGAAAGGATGAAGGATGCCTTGAGAGCCATGAGCAAGTTTAGGGCGAGTTCAAACCCAATATGGTGGTTCCACATCACAAGTGCTTTCTTTCCTCTCAGCCTCAGTCTCTACGAAGTTCTCTGCATCTAGAAAGAATTCAATAAATATCAAATTCCAGCCTGAGAATCTTGGCAGCATCTTTAATCTCAATGAGCCATTTTGAAAATGTTTTATGATAGTACATTCATCCAGCTCCTTTTTTCAAAGACATGTCCTGACTCTCCATTCAGGAAGTATTTCCCTTCTTATTTTAGAATCTAGAGTTGTCTAAGAGTAAACAAAATGGAACAAGACTTCCATGTGTTAGCACACAGTCAAAAATTCTCCAGTATTCTGCCACTGGGCCAAGAAGTGGGGAAAAAATGACCATGGCATGGCCATTGAAAGGTTGTTTAAATGGCTGTTCCCTCACTTTCCTACACTTTTGGTGGGAATATAAATTAGTCCAGCCACTGTGTAGAACAATATGGAGATTTCTCAAAGATCTACAAATGGAACTACCATATTATTCAGTAATTCCACTCCTGGGTATCTACCCAAAGGACAGGAAAACAGTCAGAAAAATGCTTGCACATTTATGTTTATTGTGGCATTGTTAACAATTACTAGGACATGGAACCAACTCAAATATTCAGTAACAGAGGAATTGATTGAAAAAGTGTGGCACATATACTTTATGGAATAATGTTCAGTCATAAAAAAAAAACAAGACCCTTGCTTTTGTTAGAAAGTGGATGAATATGGAAGATTTGCTGCTGAGTGAAGCAAGCCAGGCTATAAAAGATAGACATTGTATGTCTCCACTTAATGTATACTGACTGCACTGTATGGCAGAAACTGAAAGATTAGGGTACATAGACTCATGGGCAATGGTTACAAATACTGGAGACAGTGTGAGAAGAGGAGAAGTAAATAATTATGAGGGAAGGAATAAAGGAGAAAAATAGAAAGGCAAGTTCATTTATGGAACATAGAAATGGATGCTTATCTGTTAACGATAAGGTGTATAGTATCTTCAACTGGACTGGTGTGAAGTGTATTCATGTTGACTAAATTCGCTTTACAAGCTGTAGTGATGAACAGTGATTGCATGCATTGAAAAAATAAAAAAAGGCTGTTCCCCAAGTTCCTTGAGTCTTCTATGAGACAGAAGTTTAGGGTTTAGGGAAGTGAATATATGAGACTGGGGAAGACATAGAAAATGTGCACTTCCCAAAAGATCATCAATTGACCTGATTCAGGAATATCTGTTGACCCAAAATTTGGTGCCACGTCAGAAAATGAAGGAGGGGGAATGGCATGTTTTACTTTCCATATCACTTCCCCTCCACCAAGTTTCTTTCAGTTCACTATCAACTATTCTTCAAGAGAAAGAGAAACACAATCTGTTTCTGGTTACTCTCTTTGCTCAGTAAAACCAGACTACATTACAGAATCCAGGTTTGGTGAGCCTTGTTCAGAAGAAAAGGGTGCCCTTATTACATGTCCATTCACAAATCTTGGCAGTTAATCTTACAGTCTAATCCATTGGCACATGCTCCATCTGTAAGTCTAGATAATTGAGATTGAGACCTGGTGTTTTTAAATTACTTAATCCTATAAATGGGGAAATGCCCATTATGTTTGAAGAAAAGACAAACAGCATTTCAGCAGCAATTAGAATTCAGATAGGGAATATGCCTAATACAACTGAACATGGCTAATTACTAATAAGGTTTCTATAATAGGGTGTAAGATTCCCCTTTTTCAGCAAGCAATATTGTTGCCCATACTTGAAACTATAAAACCATCATTCTTTGGAAAGGTTTTTTTAAATCAGTCATTTCAAAAAGATTGGAAAATTGAGACATAATACAAAGACTTGCCTATATTTTACTTCATTTATGTATGAGCCTCTCAAGAAAGAATAATTTTGCCTTATCAAGAGGAATGTTCTTTACCTAGTGTGCATCTTCAGATGGTCACGTGGAGAGGGGAAGGAGAGTGGGAGCTTGGCTTCAGTTCAGATGGGCTGACCAAGCCTGAGGATCCAGAAAATGATAAATGACTCAATGACATCTCTTCCTTATGTGTTCCCCTGAACCTCAATGTCATCATTGAGACAGGGTAGGAATATCTGGGAAATTATATATAATGTATATCATATTATATATTATATATTATATTTATATTTTATAAACATAAGTATATATATAGTGTGTGTGTGTGTGTGTGTGTGTGAAGAATATATGTTTGATACATGCCATACAGTAGGTTCTCAGTAAATGGTGGTGGTGGTTATTATCACACAGGTATTCACTCCATCAGTATTCATTTTCTCATTATGGGAACAATATAGGTCATATTCCCTCTTTAGACCCTAAAGTTGCAGGTGAACCAATTTTGCAAATTAATAAGTGACTGCAGAACATTGGAGGCCTGGGTTGAATATATGTTCCATGCAAATGAGAATCAGGCTGGTAGAAGGCCCAGGTATAAATTCATGACTGCAGTTAGCAGTCAGGGAGAGTGTTGTTCTCCAGAAGCAGATATTGCTAGCCAAGATCGGTACTGCTCACTTCTTGGACTTCAATGTGTTATGTATCTTTGGCTGGAGAAATCAACACATGGGAATGCATAAATGTATAAAACGTCTCTCTTTCAAAGACAGAAGAGATCATTACTTTATGGAAAGGTGAATTAGACTTCTATGTAATTATTGCTTCCACATCTCTGGTTTTGGTTTGTTTTGAAGGCAAACTGCTCAAATGAGAGAAATAGCAACATCTTTGAAGAATAGTTATTTTGGTCACATCTGGGAAGATGCAGGTCTGAGAAATGGAATCCAGCAACCTGCCAAACACTCAGCACTTCAGTATTTTTATATGAATATAAATATTTCTCATTTTTTCAAGAGTTCTATTTCTAAATGTTTAACTTTTCCTCTGCCACCTGATCTCCAAGTAACACAATGTATTGAATCCTAAGAGTGACAAGAAGATCATTGATAAGATGAGAAAATGTATTAAAAGATCAGACATTTAGTTGTTTTGTATTAGTGCATATTTCACATTTCAGTACAATCATTTAAATATTGAAAATTTTGGATTTTGAGTTTTAATTGATTACCAAGGACTGGAATTGGCTTTGCACAACATGTTGAAAGATCATCTCTGGGGAGGGACAGAAGATGCATACATTAATTTTTTTGTCTCTGATAATAATTTCAATCTCCACATGGGACAACATGGCCAAGGCCTAAGGAACATACACAAAACCACAAAACAAACATAAGCAAATAATACTGGTTATATGGGAAGATGTGGACTAATTTTCTCTGCATTGTAAGACAGGCATTAAAGTTGTGGAGGAGACAGCCTTGATGAGTCAACATCTGGGTCAAGACGTAAGTATGAGATAAATTGGCAGTGTTTTGATCCATTTCATTGCCAGTAACATAAAATACTTGAATCTAGATAATTTAAGAGAACTATGATTTCTTTTGCTCATGGTTTGAAGGTCCAAGGTCCACCTCTGGTAGAGGTCTTGCCAAATCCAGATTATACCATGAGGGCAAGAGCA